AGTTAAAAGTTTAGGCACACACCCTGTGATGGTTGTGGTGAGGGTAACTGGCTTCGGGGGCTGTCAAGAGAACATAACTAACTAGCTAGCCAGCAGTATCAGAGTAAATAAGGGTCCTACTAATCAGAATCAGTTTTATTGGCAGGTATGTGTAGAAATACGAGGAATTTGACTCAGGATTGTACATTGCTCACGATGTGCTTACGTATACAATAATAACACAATAATAAAATAATAATAAAATAAAATCAGACACAAACTACAGAGTAGACGACACTAATATACACACTATGAACAAAACAATATAGACATATAGTGCGGTAATCAGTGCAAAGGATGCAAGAGTGAACTATTCTTCTCATGAGATGGATCTGCAGTGATGTTTCCTGCCCTTTCCTGACTCTGGAAATGTATAAGTCCTGAATGGAGGTTGGCACCATTGATTTTTTCTGCAGTCCTGACTGTCCGTTGTAGTCTGCTCCTGTCCTTTTTGGTGACAGAGAAGTGGATCAGCAGCTCCTTAGGCAGGTTGAGCTTCCTGAGCTGACGCAGGAAGTACATCCTCTGCCTGGCCTCCTTGATGATGGTGTCAGTGTTGGGCTCCCACTTCAGGTCCTGGGATATAGTAGAACCCAGAAACATGAAGGATTCCACTGCAGCTACATACTTATCGTTCAGCTGCCTTCAGGGCTTATTAACGCTGATTGCCGTGAATTCGCATCACAGCGCTTCCTTTCAGACTGCGGCCGAGGTGGCGTTTGTATTCCCCCAATGGCTGTTTGTGCGTATTCGATACGTACCTAGGAACTTTTTGTAAGCGCTGGTTTACAGTTTGTTGTCGCTAATTTGCGTCATACCTACATCATACCTGAATTTATATCTTTTCTATATCTATAGACAAATTAACAATCTCAACTTAATTTAGTATCAGCTTGAAAGCAAACACAAAACAAACAACAAAAAACAAATTTAGGCGTCAGGGTTAAAACTAAAATGTCAAACGCTCACAGCAGGAACATTTAAACTTCTTCCAGCTTTTTAGCGCAAACAATTAACATTTGAGGACATCTGAACCTGAAATTTAAAGACATGACGAAGGAGTTTCAAGCCAAATGTAATCTTTATTAGACTGTTTCTGTACAAAAAGCACTGGATCACAGGAAAAAAACATGCATCTATTTACAGCATGGCCAGAGACAGGAAAAGAAAAGGACCGGGGGTGTCGTCGCCCTCCCCCGTTTGTATTCTAAAGACATTAATTAAACATTGTGCTTTGATATACTTTGATGATATATTTCATATTTCACAAAGATGCAGTACCTCTGACCTCTTTCACATTGAAGTAAAACATCGAGAAAAGTATACTTTGCAGTTTTTAAAACCTCGGCTGAAACCCGGACGGTGATAAGCAAAACTTTCTACAACTATGACCAAAAAAACCCCAAAACATTTCGTTAGCAAGCTGAAGACGGACGCGGGAGCTGAAGTGCGAGGCGTGACTGTTGGCTCTGCAGGCTGGGTTTCGTTAGTTTAACTGAGAAATGGCTTTTTCTAAAGACACGAGAAAGACGTTTTCCCGGACGTCCGTTCTGCTGCAGTTGCATAAAGTCTGTAGAGTTTAATAATCCGACCAAACTTGAGATCCCCGCCCTCACCTCTGTGTTTATTCCTAAAGAAAAGTAGAGATTGAAGGGATGGTAGATGGTTCCTGTTTCAACGAGAGAGCTGGATCTTTTAGGATTTTCAATATTATGAGATGCTGATCTTGTAGCTGGTTGTCTCGTACATTTGAGATTCGCATTTCGAAATTATGATAGATAGTTTCGTCCTGACTGAGATTGAGATACTGAACATTTTCAGAATTGAAATATGAACGCATGATACAAATGTCATCACTGAGTCAGTTACTGATCTTAAATATTAAACACAGATCAGTCTTTTAATTATTAGATTTATTTGGTGATGATGCAGTAATTGAGTTTTCATGTAATTTGATGTAAAATCTTAATCGTGTTTTTTTTGTTATTTCTTTTGATTACAAGATGTCAAATTATAATAATAATAATACTTAATTAGTAATAAATACTAGATAAAGTCTTGGTTTTTGTCTGTAGTGAACTCCCAGACTGTGTTGCAGTACCTTAATTAGTGGTTTGGGGGCGCTGTCAGGGAGTTTAATCTTTTATGTTTTTCACTGAACCAACAGCTGATGCTACTGGAAGGCTAACTGCTAACGGAGCTTTTAGTTTTTTGTGGGGAACCTGAGGGACAAACGTTTGGTACAAAAACAAAACTCATTAATTTAACTAAACTAATTACAAACTCAACAGAAGCCACCTGCGGGACTAAGACTCAGAGTTGAAGCGTGGTCAATTGTAAGGCATCGAATATGACTTTTAATTTTCCAGAATTTCCCACGGCAGCGTGGAAGACGAGCTCGCGGTGCAGAACAGGAACACAGTTGCATAAGTTAATGATCCAGATCGTGTGCGACGACGTGAACAGCACCGTCAACGACAACACCGGCATCGATGGAAGTTTCCTTGAGATCAGCGACCCCCCCACCCCACCCCCAAAGAAAAAGAAGCCTCCATTCTCGGAGTGGTTTTAAAATCTGCTGCCTGTTTTTAAAAAGCGTACAATCATTCTCACCAAGAAACACAAAGACGAGGGCCGGCTCTAATATTAAGGATGGATAAAATATCGTCTTCTAAACACCGAAACCAAGAGAGAACGCTCGGTCCAAAAGTAAGAGTGGAGGAATATTATGACGTTATAAGCTTCTGAAATATAAAAATTTCACATGACGAGGATTTTTGCCGTTTCAGAACGGCAGAAAAAAAACATATCGGTGCATTTCGTTCTAGCTTTCGTCTTTTTTTTATACTTTAGCCGTTTTTTCTTTTTTGCTAAGATGCATTGTTCTTATTATTATTATTAAGTGCCCCAAAACGAAAATAGTGCATTAAGAAATAACCATGATTATACATTTCACAATAATACACAAAGGACGAGAAGAACACAAGTGATGCTGTTTACAAAAAGTTAAATATTGTATCGGAAAAGCATTTTTGTACAAAAGTGGTGATGAAAGCTGTTTTTTTTTTTTTTACGTCCTGCTTTGAAAAACAGGGCGACCAAGTCATGACAGTTTTTTTTGTTTGTTTTTACAAAAAGGGTTAATTCTTCTCACTTGTTCACTCTTTTTACAATATCTAAAAGGTATTAAGACATCAAATGTGTTTACATATATATTTGCGACTATCATTCAGGCCTAAAATCACAAAAGGAACTCCCCAAAACAGACTTTATTATAAATACATATATAAAATAAGCACAATCAGAAGGATAACAAGAAGATCTGGTACCTAAATGTGATTAAAACTGCTGCAAGCCTCTTCTGGTTAAAATCCACCACTCGGCACGCCCGCAGAACAGAACTGTTAGAAACGAGAGACGTCAAAAACCAAAAAAGAAAACAGAAAATTCAAAAACAAATAAACAGAAAGCTTGGGCTGCCTCGACAGATGTTTGTTCTCTTTAGTCCTCCTCCTCAGAACATGAGACACACACACTGGTAAAAGCTATGGTACAGAAATTAAAACGTGTGATATTTATCAGGAGTCTGGTCCTCTGGGGGGGTTTTGTGGAAAGAAGGGGATTTTTGGGGGATTTCTGATTGAAAACCCATCAAATCTGGAAACCGTCTGACGGTTTTTCCACATTTGGAAAAAACAAAAGGTTTAAAGAGATTTTTCCTGGTTTCTGGACTCGGCCCGACTCAGGTCAAGTGTCCACGGGGAGCTTCTGATCTGGCGAGAACCAATCAGAGGTTTCAGAGATCCTTTTTTTTGCTGCGACTGGAGATAGATTTACTGAAAAGCCACGTACGGTAGCTCGTTTAACCAAAACACGTTTGTGTTAGCGGCTTGTTGGTGAATCTAAACCTGAACTGTGACTGTAAATCACCGCCGCTCTGCCCGTTTCAGACCACATCCTGACAGAAGCCTGAACTTCACGCAGCCACCAGGAGAGAAAACTAAAAGTCGACATGGTGTTGACGAGACGACAGACTTTCTCTCTGCGCGATGATTTTCATAGAGACAAAATGACTCCAGTGGAAGGAACTCAATCTGAAAACTGACAAAGTACTTGGACCAAATTATTTAAAACGTTCAAAAACACATGTGGGTTTTGTTTCAGGCTCTCTATCAGTGTGTTTCTAGTTTTACTTCTGTTTTTGACTATTTTCATGCTGTTTGCACATTTGAATGTATTTTTCCTACTGTTTAGCTCTTCCATTGACGTCCACTCTATTCTATGGGACATGAACATAAATAAGCAGAGTCTTCTTTAATCCTTCACATCTGCTATTAACCTTTGTTTTAATCTTTACATGATCATCTAAATTGTTTACCAGTTTACCTCAAATCCAAATATACGTGACTACAGGGCAGCTTCTGCTCCCATGCAGAACTCCATTTAAGTAAAGCCTCAAAAACAATTAACAATCATTTATCTTTGACATAAACTGGATCGACCTGTCCAGGGTGGACGCCGCCTTTCGCCCGATGGCAGCTGGGATTGGCTCCAGTACGCAGGATAAGCGGTTGACGATGGATGGATGAATAAACTGGATCTTGTGACACGTAAACCTGCTTATTCATTTCATGTTTATGGAAAAACTAAATGTTTAGCGGTGATGAAGGTTTGTGGTTCGTACTGAAAGGCTAAAAACACGGAGGAGTTTATCAAAGCTTATTGTCCAATGAGATCCAAACCTTTCTTGGTGATGTCATGGCGATGAACAGAAGCTCCCGGTGGACACGCCTCCTTCCTGTCTCACAGTGGTTCAAACTGATCTGAGACCTGTTCCAGTCTCCACAGACTTCTGAAGTCAAACTAACAGAACTCAGCACACGTAGTACTGCAGACACCTGCCCTCCCTCAGTTCACTCCTCCCTCAGTTCACTCCTCCCTCCCTCCCACCCTCCCTCAGTTCACTCCTCCCTCCCTCAGTTCACTCCTCCCTCAGTTCACTCCTCCCTGACCTTTGACCTCCTGTGAAGGAGCGCCGCCTGGACATGGAGCCACCGCAGACGTCTTTGAGAAGACACTTCCCGTTTAGCGGTCTGCGGTGGCTTCAGCCGTCAGCGGGGTGAAGTCCCACAGCGAAGACGAAGAGTCAGACTTGACCTTCTGCTGCAGGGGTGGATTCTGGGTCACAGGGGGATGATGGGATGGGTTTCTCGCTGCTGTTGTTGTGGCGTTTCAGGTGGGCGGTGGGCATCAGCGCTGGGGGGTAGGGGGTGTCTGACGGTATCTGGCTGAGAGTCGTCCTCACATGGGCGGGACGATGAGACCTGCCATAGCTGCAAGACGACACACAAACAGAATCAGTCAGGTTCGGCCTGACGAGCTCGTCTGAACTCAGAAACAACCTGAAACATCTCGGACACGCCGCCGCGTCGCAGGATGACTCCTCTGCTTATCCACCTTTTAGCATTTCTGTCTTTCTATAAACAGAGAGGACGTGACTCCCAAAGAAACTAGTGGTTTAGTTTTCTTACAACAAGTGAAAAGAAGAAAACGGTGTGTTCGCAGAAAAGCTGCAACTAACCAATATTTTTGTTTTGGTCTTTAAGTTTCAGAAAATTGTGCAAAATGTTTCCAAGAGCCCAAGAGGACGTCCTCAAACGTCTTGTTTTGTCCACAACCCAAAGATATTCAGTTTACTGTCACAGAAACCAGAAAATATTCACATTTGAGAAGCTGGAATCAGAGAATTTGACTCAAACCAATTAATCGATTTTGAAGATAGTTTAATTGTTGCAGCTCTAGATTGCAGGTTTTTGCTGTCGATGCGTTTGAGTACGGTAAGCCGTACTCACGATTAGCTATTAAAAAGCTGCTACTACTTATTTATTAGTTACTAGAAACTATTCCCGTTTTACAAGTAACAACTTTTCCGCAAGTTACTTTTAACTAATTGCACATTTTTGCCTCTCAAACCTACGGAGCTCTGCAGTTCAGATATCACTTTTTCATTAGTTACTGGTAACTAAGAGTATTAATATCTAATGAATTGTTACTAGTAACTATTTAATATGTGATATCTGCAGAGCCCCATACGTGTGAAAGGCAAAAATGTGCAATTAGTGACAAAAAAAAAACTTGTTGTAATAATGTTCTTGACACAAGCATTCGTAGTTCCCAAAACCCGAGTGCTGTCATGAAAACACAGACGTTGCATTGATCACATGGAAACAATGACAACATGCATCCATTGTTCAAAACTACGCTAAAAGAATCAGAACCTGCTGAATATCTAGTCAAGGTTAGGCAGCTGGAGGCAGACTGCCGCACTAGAATCAAGAAAACATTTACTTTTTTATTAGAAACAGGTTTAAATAACTAAATGTTTTTACTTGTCTAGTGAAAATAAGACTTTCAGGGTTGATGATGTGGATTTTTCAACAGTGCTGAATAAAAAGCTCTCAAAGACGCCAGGCTTCTTTTAATTTATGACACAATAAATATCATAACCATGACTCTCTGCGTAATTTCACGGCTTACTGGCCAAAAAACAAATTACATTTTTAATTGTTATTCCTTAACATTTGTACCAGTTTTGGGCAGATGTATCCAGAAAGATCTCACCTGATTCAATTCTTGAGCTGTTTATATTTGACGCAGGTTGAGTTATTAAGACTTAAAGGATAAAAAAAGCAGTTAAAACTTTTAAACATTTTCTATTTTATTCTGAAATCCCACAAAGTGCCAGCAGTTATGGATCAACTTTGACCTCCGAGTGTTTAAAACCAGGTCTCATTATCTTTACAGTGACGCTGGACGTCTTTTGCGTCCAGGTGAGGCGTGGACAGGTGGACAGCAGAGGACGGGGGTGCTGACAGGCGGGAGGGGGGGGTGGGATGCTCACCCTGGAGGTTGCTGCCATTGGTGGTGGTGCAGGTGGGGGGCGGGGAGGTCTGTGGCCGCACGACAGGGGCGAAGGCGCTCTTCTGTTTGACTGCAGAAACCATATGGACAGGAGAGAATGAATAAGGGCCTACGGGAGCAGAGGAAGAGAGAGGAGGAGGTGAGGAAGACGAGGGGTGGAAGGAGTCCTACAGGAGGAGGAGGTGACGGTAACGAGCAGGCAGACTGACAGAGGAGGTGAGTGATCGGATGGAGGTGAATCATGCAGGAGGAGGAGGAGGAGGGGGGGGATGAAGAGGAGGGGGAATGGGTCCCGACCTCGGTCTGAGGGAACAAACATGCTCCGAACACAAACAGCTGCACATCTGGCAAAGTTGATCCATAACTTTAAGGACTTTTATTGTGAAAAACCAACCTGATCCAACATGAGAGCAGCAGCAACTTCGTGCACACACCTGTACAGGTGAGCAGGTGTGTGTGTGTGTGTGTGTGTGTGCTGAACCCATCGTTTGTTCTCCTCCTGTGTCTATAAAACAGCTGACTTCTGATTCAGATTCAAGCAGCAGCTCAACGTGGTCTGATATCTTCATCTCCAGAGCTGGAGGCTGGACGACGTTAGCCTAGCTTAGCATAAAGACTGGAAGCAGGGGGAAACTGCTAGCCTGCCTCTAAACCTCCCTGATAGTGGACTGTAACTAAATACATTTACTCAAGTACTCAACTGAAGTACAATTTAGAGGTATTTGTACTTTACTTGAGTATTTTCTCTTCCTGCTCCGTCTCAGAGGGAGAAGTTGGACATTTTATTTCACTACGTTTATCTGACAGCTTCAGTTACTTTACAAAGTCAGAGTTTTACACAAAACACATGAAGAGTTTATAAAAGATGATGTTTAGTAATAAATTAAGTAATATTAATATAAGTAAATTATATATTAAGTACAGCAAGTACATTAGTTGATTGCTAGAAAATCAATTGGCAATTATTTTTCATGTAAAAACATTTCATGTGAAGATTTGCTGCTTTTCCTTTTGATTATTTTTAAAGTTTTTTAAATCAGAGGTTTGGACTGACAGAACAAACATTGTGAAGGAGTCTCTTTGGGCTCTGAGGAACATTTCTCACTATTTACAGAAGGGTTACAATCAATTAATGAAGAAAATAATCAGCTGATTGATCCAGAATAAAATCATAAATTGCAGTCTGATAGTTCAACCTCAAACAACTACAGCAGTAAAATCCTGCTTTACATTAATTAATTGAATTAGTAGTAATAGTCTAATATATAAAATAGTACAGCCACAAAACATGTTTCATTCTGGAGTGAGTACTTTTACTTGTAACAGACTATATTTACAGTGAGGTATTAGCACTTCAAACCCAACAGCCGTGTACGTGACGACATAACTGTTTCTCTCTGTGACTGAAGCTAACGTTACAGAAGCTAATGTCACTGAAACAAATCTTAAGTCACTTTAGTAGTTGTTCCAGAACTTTCAATCAGATCACATCATCTTTCTTAGCAGAATTTAAAAAGAAAAATATCTGAAGAAATGCTCAGAAAGGAATTTATTTTGTACATCTTCACTGACAACCGTGATGAAAAGCTCTACAAGAGCTGTTTTATAAATCACTTTATTTCAACATTTAACTTAATAAATTAAATATGAGAAATCTAGTGCACTGTGGCTGTGTTCTAATGTCGCTGAAGCTAACGTCACTGAAACCAACATCACTGAAGCTAACGTCACTGAAGCTAATGTTACTGAAACCAACATCACTGAAGCTAACGTCGCTGAAACCAACATCACTGAAGCTAACGTCACTGAAGCTAATGTTACTGAAACCAACATCACTGAAGCTAACGTCACTGAAGCTAATGTTACTGAAACCAACATCACTGAAGCTAACGTCGCTGAAACCAACATCACTGAAGCTAACGTCACTGAAGCTAATGTTACTGAAACCAACATCACTGAAGCTAACGTCACTGAAGCTAATGTTACTGAAACCAACATCACTGAAGCTAACGTCGCTGAAGCTAATGTTACTGAAACCAACATCACTGAAGCTAACGTCACTGAAGCTAACGTCACTGAAGCTAATGTTACTGAAACCAACATCACTGAAGCTAACGTCACTGAAGCTAATGTTACTGAAACCAACATCACTGAAGCTAACGTCGCTGAAGCTAATGTTACTGAAACCAACATCACTGAAGCTAACGTCGCTGAAGCTAATGTTACTGAAACCAACATCACTGAAGCTAACGTCGCTGAAGCTAATGTTACTGAAACCAACATCACTGAAGCTAACGTCGCTGAAGTTAAAGTTACTGAAGCTAACATCAATGAAGACAACATCACTGAAACCAAAGTTACTGAAACCAACATCGCTGAAGCTAATGTCGCTGAAGCTAACGTTACTGAAGCTAACATCACTGAAGACAACATCACTGAAACCAACGTTACTGAAACCAACGTCGCTGAAGCTAACGTTACTGAAGCTAACATCACTGAAGACAACATCACTGAAAACAACGTTACTGAAACCAACGTTACTGAAACCAACGTCGCTGAAGCTAATGTTACTGAAACCAACATCACTGAAGCTAACGTCACTGAAGTTAAAGTTACTGAAGCTAACATCACTAAAGACAACATCACTGAAACCAACGTTACTGAAACCAACATCGCTGAAGCTAACGTCGCTGAAGCTAATGTTACTGAAGCTAACGTCACTGAAGTTAAAGTTACTGAAGCTAACGTCACTGAAGTTAAAGTTGCTGAAGCTAACGTCACTGAAGACAACATCACTGAAGCTAACGTTACTGAAACCAACATCGCTGAAGCTAACGTTTCAGAAGTTAAAGTTACTGAAGCTAATGTGACTGAAGCGAACATTACTAAAGCTAACGTCACTGAAGTTAAAGTTACTGAAGCTAGTATTACTGAAGATAACGTCACTGAAACCAACATCGCTGAAGCTAACGTCTCAGAAGTTAAAGTTACTGAAGCTAATGTGACTGAAGCCAACATTACTAAAGCTAACGTCACTGAAGTTGAAGTTACTGAAGCTAATATTACTGAAGACAACATCACTGAAACCAACATTACTAAAGCTAACGTCACTGAAGCTAACAGCACTGAAGCTAACGTCACTGAAGCAAACGTCACTAAAGGTAACATTACTGAAACTAACGTCACTAACGCTACAGCGACTGAGGCAAAGGTCACTAAAGGTAACATTACTGAAACTAACGTAGCTAATGTCACTGAAGCTAACGTCATAGAGCTTCCATGTGTAGATGATGTGATGAAAGGACCATGAGTCTAACTTAGCTAAGTTACCTAGCTAGTAGCAAGCAAGTTATGAACGTTAGCTTAGCAGTGCAGCACTAACAAGTTGGTGACGTATATTGTGCGAGACAAAAGATTTAGTTCATTGAGCACTTTCACACAAAACTAAATGTTGTTTTACAACAAACTGCGACTTTCTTGACTTTAAATGATCTTTTAAGCTAACGTGTGTAAAAACAGGATCCAAACATTAGTTGTCTCTAGCTGCTGGCTAACTAATTTTTCTGAATTAAAGTCCCATGGGGCAGCAGGGAGGGATAATTCCAAATTGGTGTAAAACTTTCTAAGGTCACTGTAAATGAAATAATCTGGAGGCCACGACCTCGTGTGTCTTTAACTTTAGCACAAAACTCGTCTTTAAACCACAAACTCTTGTCAATTTAAATTCTCGCTAGTGAACATGCTGTATCCTGTTGGTTTAGAGGTGTTGGTTGATGTGTTGTTGAACTTTGGACAGAGCCATGCTAGCCGTTTCCCCCTGCTTCTAGGCTTTATGCTAAGCTAGGCTAACCAACACTGACTCAGAGAGAAAAGAGATTTCAGATGGTGTTGAGCTGCTGCTTTAGGAGCTTCTGCAGAATTTATGGACCTCAGTGAGTCTGTAAATGATTCAGGGACAGCGTTTGAAAATGGATCTGTAAAATGAAACGGGGGAATGTAAATGTGATTTATCGCTTCATGCCAACAGCTCTCAGTCTGTCCTGGACCGCTACTTCTTCCTCCTCACATTCCCTCCTCTCTTTCTTGGCTCCTTCTCAATGTTTTTCTCTTTCGTTTTCCAGCTGATATTAATGGATTCGGCCCAAAGCGTGAATGCATGAATGCATGAAGGATGCGGTGAGGATGTTAGTGGGGTTAGTAGAAGAGGAGGGAGCGGGGTGAGGAGGAGGAGGAGGATGGACAGTGGGACAGTTGGAGGAGGAGGAGGGAGGAGGTGAACAATGCGTGGCGGTGTTCAAGTCGACACACACACATTCAAACCCTCGACGGAGGGAAACTGTAGCTCAGCCAGGCGAGATGTGAGCCCACCTTTTGTTTGTTCGCCAGGGACGACAACATCACCTGGCACCGAGACGCAGTTTGAGCTCGCTACCTTCTAAACGAGTCTCGCTGAGACTCGGCGAGCTCTTTGATACAGAAGCCAAAACAATGGAGACGCTCCCCGCGGGTGAGTTTCGACTTTACCAGTCTCCAAAACACACCTGCGCCTTCCAAGCAGCAGCTCCGACTCCAGGCGTGTTAATCAGAGCCGAGCGGAAAGTTTCAGAGCAACAACTGAAAACTACTGAAGCATCGACTCGTCTCCTGCAGCAGCAAATGCTTCACCTTTACTCACTTTCATTACTCTGTGCACCACAACTGCATCTGTCCGGGAACAGCTACTACTCTACAACAAGTAAATATATATATTAAAAGTATTTCAATTCCAATATCATGATTTTAAGCTACAGCCAGAGCAGCACAGGAGTCTGATAATAAAATATTGGCCAATCTTATTATATCATTAAATATATAACTAACATGTCTGGTAAGTTTGTTTTCTACCAAGAAATGTTCTGAGCGCAACATTTTACACTTTTTTTACAATTATCTTTGTAACTACTCTGTGTAGTACGGAAGCCTTAAGAGGCCAAACATTCATACATTTTATTTACCCCGTTTTCCCAAAATAATTTAATTTGTTTTCCCGAGATCTCAAGTAATTTCAGATTGGGAAAACATTTGTTGTTTTAAAGTATTGACACAAATAACTTGAGATCTCAAGAAAACAAATTAAATGAACTTGTTTCTCGTTCGAGAAAACATCATCTGTTATTTCAAGACAAAGACATAAATAAACCAACATTTTGGGAAAACAGCATTTATTTCGAGATAGTGAGTAATTGACTCTAGACAAATTTAATTTACTTGCTATCACGGGAAATCGGAGTAAATAAAATTTATGAATGGATGGCCTCTTAGGGCTTGCGTACTATAGAATAGTATCTGTAATGAGCTTGATATCAACAGATTTACTGACCTCTCCTATGCTGTTATTGACGAAGGTAATCGCTTTAATAGCTTTCAGCCATATTAACGTTCTTCCCTTCTTCACTTCATGATTTCCAACTCTTCTAAAAGCACAAATCAGAAATATCACAAATGCAGTCGATGTTGGGATTTTTCTACTTCAGAGGATCACTTCATACGTTTTCAACTGCTTTCAGTAAATAAACTTAAACTAACCTGTAGCCCAGTAGCTTAGGGGTGAAGACGTGCAGCAGCAACGTTCACATTTCCTGTAACCTTTTTTACCATCACTGTCCAACAAAGGCTGAAAATCCACACATACATTATAAAAACAACTTCAAGTGCTTTCATCTTATACTTGAACCGACACCTCAACTCCTTTCAGTGCTTCCACATCAACTGGAGCTTCAGATAAACGTTATCATTAACCTTCAACATCCACTGCTTCACAGGCTAATACTTAAACCGACACGTAAACTCGTTTCTACTACTCCTCGAGTGCTTCAGCTTCAGCGCAACTTAAATAATTTTGAAACGTGTAAACTTGTTTCAATGTCAACGTGTGAAAACATTTAAACTGTTTTAAATGTTTCAGCTTCAGATTTTCAGTTGTGAAGCAGAAATTTCTTCACAAAACTCAACTTTCAGCTAATTCAGAGTAACTTGTTTCCCTTAAATGAGAAACAGCGCAGTGTGTTTTTGACTGCACCTCCTGCTAACTGCCACTCAGATGGATAAGGTTTGTTTTCATGTTTAATCAAATTAAATGTCTTAACTGACTCACTTGCGTAAGCAGAGTTGGTGGAGCCGTTGAGGAAGCTGGGGGATCCAGGTACGCCCAGGTTGGTCATCCCTGCTCCGTATCCGTTCATGGTGGACGTGATGGTGTTGTAGTTGGACTGCTGAGGCGTGGAGCTCGGCACGTAGCCGCGAGGAGACACGCTGTTCGAGTTACGGGAGTAACCTGCGAGGAGGAAACACAAGATCAATTCTTCAAACCTGCAGGATCCTGAGCCAGCTGCATCGAGCTGCCCTGAAAACATAACGGGCGGCTGTGGCTCACGAGTTAGAGCGGGTTGCCCGTTAATCGGTCAAAATTGGTCGGCTGCAAGTCGAAGTATCCTTGGGCAACATACTGAACTCCGCCAGTGTGTGAATGTTAGTTTCTGTTTGAGCACTTAGGCTCAGCGTGTGAATGCAGATGTAGAGTAAAAGCGCTTTGAGTGCTCAAAAAGACAAAAACAAAGGCGCTATACAAGTACGGAGCGTTTACATAACCAGGCTGCGGTTAACACAAGGTGGCGTTACGTTTCCCCAACAACGTACGGTGAAACTGCTAAACATGTAAGAGGTTTGAATGAGTTCTTCTCTTCTGTTCTGTTCTTCAGCTCAATTTAGAGGTTCTGTTTTTTTACGTCCATGACATCAGTCTGCAGTCACTGGTGAAATATAAATGTGCAGTGAAATGAAATTTTTCAGTAAGTACGTTTTGTTTTATGCCTGTTTGTCGCTAGCTAAAATTAGCATCCCAGCTAATATCACAGTTAACATGAATTACAGTTGCGCCTAGCTAACCAAGCTAGCTAGCTCCACCCTCTCGTCCAAACATGGTCACATCTGATTCCACAAACCAACACGGGACGTCACGGTTGCTGCCTTCAAAATAAAAGCACATAAGCCGTCTGTCGGAGCTAGATCAAATGTGTATTTGATATTATTGGATATTTGTTAAACATGTAATATTCTGTTTGAAATAAATAAGTTGTTTCATAGTAGCCTGTTTCAGTTTTGTGTGAGAGGAATTAAAGGCCTGTCCCAAATATAGAGGGTAGGCGTTGATGTCACTTCCCCTTCTGGAACATGCTGGACTAAGTGGCAAAACATCTGTTACCATGGCAGCGTTTAGCAAACTGGGAGTAAAACAAGTGATTATTTGCTCAAATTAAAGGCGGTCGGACTCGACAGTGATCCTAACTGCTTACCAAAGAACGAGCGGTCCAGCTCTTTCCCATTTGTGACATGTTGTTTGTGTTTTAGCTGATTCAAGCTAACGCTGCTGCTCGTCTTTCTGCCACACAGTGAGCGTAACTGCGTTCTGTGACATCATGCGTACATCCTCTATAGGCTGGGTCAATTCAGTGATTTTAGCAAATAAAAGCCTGGGCTATTATTCAAAGTTTTACAGTATTAAGGAATTTATTCAACCTGGAGAAGATGCGTTCACTCTTTAGTGATGTCTTTTGATTGATATTAATGTATTCTGACATTCAGAGAAAACAACAGCTCTCTTCCACGATAAGAACTTTTCTAGAAACTGGAAACAGGATCTGAAAATAGTTCTTGAACCGTAGCAGATTTTTGAAATTATGTACTAAATTGTGCTGCTGTTGGTTTTTTAATCTGTTGTTGGACTGATGTGTGATCAGCCAAGTTCTTAACAAGTAAATGTTCCCGCCAGAGGTCCGACACAGATCTGCAGAATCTCGCCAAACCCAACACGCATTAATTAATTTTTTAAAAAGAGACGCAATCCAAAAAACACGAGGGCAGTTAGAGTTGATGCAAAGTGTGTCAGATATGTTGCCGTGTGTGTTGTAACACTGCAGGACCGCCTGGATCTCTCTGACCTCCTCGCTGTGACCTCAGCAGTGACATCATCAGGCCTGTCACTGCTGCTCTCCTGTTACCGACTGCTTGCCTCCCCACAGGCGAAGTCTGCCCTTCATCTCTCACCTCGCTGCTGCGCTGCACTTACCTTAACGCCCCCCCCACCCCCCCACGCTCCCGCTGATTGACCCTCATCCAAGATGCATTGAATACCAATGTTCCCTGCAGCTCTCAGTCTGACCTTTAACCCCCTCAAGAGGCTCCCGAGTTCCCACCGATCTCGGGCCGAGTTCCCCGAGCAGAGCCAACAGTGTGCCAAGCAGCACATTGCAGCCCGACCCCCCACCTCCACCCCATTCCCTCCACCCTCGTCCATTTCCTGATTCGGGCCAACGCAATTCCCAGCAGGAGAGGCTGATGGAGCGCTGCCCGGGGAACGAGGAGGGCCGGCGATGGGAAACACATGTGGAGGAGAACAGTGCAGGGAGCGGCCGAGAGCAGCAGCTCACACTGAAGGTTTGTTCTTTGGTACAAAAAAGAAACGTTTAGCAAACGGACCCAGCACTCGGGCCTGTTTGTTCTGGTGTGTTCCGGCTCTCTGCCCGTCCACGGCAGCGTGGGAAGCACATCTGATGCAGATCACATCCTTGCAGTTGGGTTTCTGCGAGCGGCTGATTATCCGCTCCACTGACAGTTTGGTTTCTCTGAGTAAACCGTCGCTGAGGAATTCCCTGCAGCTGGACCGTTGGGTCGGGTTTTAATTAGAAACTCGACTCTGGCGGCTGTGAAACACATCGAACAGGTTGCAGTGCTGAGCTGAACACGACGGTCCTCGAGGCCTGAGAGGCTGAAGCTGCGACACAGAGCTCTGAAACTTCAGTGACGTTATCACTAATAATAATAATTATGACTCACGTTTTCCAGAAAATATTCTTCTTGACCTTCGGGGCAAATTTCTGAGGTACAATATTCTGAAGTCAACGTTCACTTAAAGCTTTTTCAGGAGCTTTCGATCACTGACTTCAGTGACAGAACCCCCCCCCCCATCACGTGATTTATTCCGTAATTTATTTCTAAAAACTGACTATTTAAAAGCTACTAGTTCTTTACTAATAACTATTCCTGTTTTACTAATAACAATTTATTAGTTACTTGTAATTAATTTTTAGTTGCTAGAAACTAATTGCACAGTTTTGTCCACGAATCTACGGGTCTCTGCAGTTCAGATATCACCTATTTACTAGTTAAGTCGAAAAGATACTGCTAATATTTTAATTCTTACTTACATATTTTTTGTAAAATGGCTTTTTGATAGTAATATTTTAATTCTCAGTAGTTAATAGAAATAGTTAATAGTAATTATTCATTAGTTGCTAGTAACTTATGAAGAGGTGATATCTGAACTGCAAAGCCCATAAATTCAACTGTACAATTAGTTTCTAGTTACTAAAAAATAGTTACTAGTAACTAAGGAATATGAAAATAGTTACTGTTAACTATTCATTAATTACTAGTAACTAATGAAGAGGTGATACTGACAGCAGAGCCCATAGATTCAATAGTAAAACTGTGCAAATAGTTACTAGTAACTGAAAAATAAGCACTAGTAGCTAAATAATATATACTAGTAAAATGAAAATAGTTACTGTTAACGTCTATGAAGACTCTCGGTCATCCAGGTCATAGTTATCCAACGAAGGTTAAAGTCAAGAGCAACTGGACTTGGTCTTGACTTTAACCTTGGTTGGAGTTACTGTTAACAGTTCATTAGTTACTAGTAATTAATGAAGAGGTGATATCTGAACTGCAGAGCGCCGTAGATTCCAACGGCATGAATGTTCAACACTATAATAGTTACTGTAATGGCAGAAAATAGTTTCCTCTTACATTTAATCTTTTATACATGTTCTTTTATTATTATCATTACTATTATTGTTTATGTTGTGTATATATATATATTGTTTTTCATCCTTAACCTTTTCTCTCTTGGTTAACGTTTGTCCACATATGGAGGGTTTAGGTCAGAGCTTTGAGAATGTTTAGTGTTATCCTTTTTTTCTGATCCTCTCCTGTCCTTGAATGTTCCTTCAAGGCCTGGAGAGGATCTCTGTTCCCCAACACATAGAAACCTGGACTGTGTAAAAGATCATTATCGTCCCTTCGCTCGGGGCCAGACGCCCGAAGCTGCCCTAGGCCTCTGGACCAGCTCATTTTCTGTTCTAGTGCTTCTCTGTTTGTTCTCTTTCGTTAATAAATTCTTCAAAGACAGCGGTTTGTTGTAACTCAGTTATTTGCTTAATCCCTCACCAGCAAGATGCACAAGTTACTAGTAACTAATAATGAAGTACTTGTAATTGATTGTTACTAATAAAACGGGAATAGTTACCAGTAAGTGTTTCATTTTACTAGTTGCTGCAATTAGCGACTAGTAAGTGAATAAATGTTACTGATAACTGAAGATTAAGTACTGGTAGCTTTTTAAATAGCGACTAGTTTGTTTTAAGGACTAAACTTTTTGCCGTACGTAACGAGACCTGAGCAGGTTTCAGTGGCTGAAGGTGAGTAAGTAAACCTTGAGTTGAGA